GGCCATTAAGGTGAGCCTGGGTAGCCAGTGGCCGTAAAGGTGAGCCTGGGTAGCCTGTGGCCATTAAGGTGAGCCTGGGTAGCCTGTGGCCATTACAATTGCTGGGCTGATCACACAAACAAATACAATTTCAATGTTATGGGACGCTGGACCCGATTTCCAGCAGGTGTCGCTCCCCACCAATAGACGGAGCCTCCCCCCAGTGGTGCTAGTGGTGTCTGCTCTTACCAGCACCCCTAGCAGAGTGCCTCGTTTACACCGAGAGAGCCAGCGGTTCAAGTCCGTTATTACCTAGATGGGAAAATAACTTAGTTGGTTAGAGTGCTGGTCTGTTTTGGAAATGAATGGAGAAGTGGATGAAATCGGTCGAGTGGTTTCGGTAGGAGATGGAATTGCACGTGTTTATGGATTGAACAGGATTCAAGCTGGAGAAATGGTCGAATTTTCCAGTGGTGTTAAAGGAATGGCACTGAGAAATAAAAAAGAAGTCCGCTGATGAAGTAGTACTCTTGGTCCCTGCCCTGTGACGAACCACTTTCTGTAACGCGCGATTTTCTGTGCGGTTACAACGAGGGGTCCTAAGCTGGGAAGATTGGGCCAATTACGGGAGATCGGAATTGGTGGGAAAATTGCATCCGTGTCCTCGCTTTTTCGTCGCTTCTTTTCGAAGGACTGGGTTTGGAGCTGGGTGTGTCTCGGGAGGCCAGTTGATTGGTTGGTCAGCTGGATGACTGGCGCGCCACCGCGCGCGATTAATAAATGTTGACGTCGTTTCTTTCCTTTTGGTTTCGATCTTTTGGGCGCGGGTATCGCGCAGGAAATTGCTTCGTTCTTTTGAATTTTTCTCTTGAGTCTCTTTCGAATTTTGTCAAGCCATGATGGCTCTCGAAATTTCGGACTTTCCTTCTAGAATTCGTGCTTTTTGCTTTTTCGCATTTAGATAGGAATTTAGGAATTTAGTAATTAGGATTTTTCCTGCCGCGCGACGCCTTTTGTCTATGCGCCTCTTCATGCGGCTGCAACGAAACTCGGATTAGTGGGCGCCCTTAATCGCGTGTGTAACTGTAATTTTGAGCGGGCGCCATTGTAACTGTATCTTTCTTCTTGCACTTCGTCTCTCCCGCCCTCCCCCTCTTTCTTTTGCTGAAATTTTCGAAGGCCGCGGCTTGCATGCTCGGATCGATGCGTGGAGAAGGGTTACGTCCCCCACGCCGTGGCTCGATCATGCAGAACGCAGGCGCTCCCTCTCTAATCCTCACTCTAAGTCCTGGCAATTCCGTGTTCTTCGCGCATGCATGCACACTATAAATTTCGGCTGCGCGATTAGTCAGCTCTCTTAACCCGTTGTTGGAAGCTCGGGGTTGTGCGATCAGGAAGGGTCGGCACACGAGCGAAGTAAGAGGTGAGTAGAGTAGGAGTTGGGCAATCCGACGAGCTGGTGCCGAACGCGCGGGATTGACATGGGCCACGACGGACTGTGGGCACGGGCGAATCCGATGGGTGCGGGAGGACTAAGCGGGGTGACGACTTCGTGGGTTGGTGCGCGACGACGGACTGTCCGCATCGGAGAGAGAGAGAGAGGAGGAGAGAGTT